AACTAAAGAACCTATTTTTGGTCACTTTTCCCCCACATTCTGATGGATGAAGGGGCCAGGTTGTATTACAAAAGTATTTTTTTCTTTTAATGGATTCTTAGGCAATGGATGCCCAATTTTGTGAAATGCAGCCTAACAGCCTGCCTGAGAGGACAAAATCAGCATTTTTCACATCAACCAAGATAAAATTACAATTAACATACAAAAAAGATGCAAACACCAGTTGTTCCACTCAATGTCTGAGTGCCTTTGATCCACTCCATGGGGGGAGGGATGACCTCTAGCCAGCAATGTAGTGAATGGCCACTCGTGAGGAAGAGGGAACAAATGGCCACCCTGAGCTAGGCCACAAAGCTGCTGCTGGTTGGTCCGTCGGCACTCACCAAAAGTAACTGCGAGGCAGAGAGGATGGGTTCCCTGAGTCAGGCCTACTGAGCTTCAGCTAGTGATTCCTTTAGGATGCCCCCTGACACACAGGTAAATGGGACAAACAAGAACAGTAATGAGACCTCACAAGTCAGAAATCAGATTTCAGAACTGAGACCAAGAGGCCCAAGAGTAGTTCCCCTGGACAGTGCCCTATGGGCTCCTTCCAAGTGGGAAAGATGCCCTTGAGCAGGGCCCTTTGTATAGGTGGAGGAGAGTCGATGGGACCTCCAAAGAGGTTGCAAAACCTCTAAGAAGGCCAGTAGATCGGGAGAAGGAAATGGGGGATGTCACCTGTGCTTGGGAACACACAGTAAAGATTTCTTCCATTTCCAGAAACCGTTCCTCCCCTGCAAGCAAGCCTGAGCTGAAGGTTGGCAGTGCAATGCTGGCAAGAAAGATTCCAGGGACTTCAGTGGATCTCCAGGTTCACCACAGTGGCAAGAAGGCATTGAACCAGGGACAAATGCCCATGAGGAGCCTCCAGGCTAGCTCTTGTTAAAAACAAGTTTTGGTGCTGCAAAAGGAATAGCACTCAACTGGAAATTTTCTCAGCAAGGCAAATTTACTTCTACAGAAGGATGCAGCTTGTGCCAGTCACGATGGCAAAAGCACACTGAGCCGGGTAGGGACAGGGTTTTTATCCCTAATGCAATTTGTTCCTACTGCTGTGTCCTTTCTCCACTGGCTGGGGTTGGACTGCAAGGTCTAAACTGACCCAATTGGCTGTTTGAAATTGAACACAGGTATCTAGGCAGGAAAGGGAAGGCCATCCCTTATGGCACAAGGCATGTCTAGGTTTGTCAGGGCATGTCAGGGTGCGGCAAGGGCAGAAAGGGTTGTTTACAGCATGGGTAACTATAGAAACTAGAGAAACAAAGATCCCAGAAGAACAAGGAATTAAAACCTTTTGAAAAGGAATTTATCATCTCTGACACTCTCTACTAAATTTTAACCACAATAGATTCGTTGCCTGGTGCCTAGCAAGTCAACATACCAAATAATGGCGATAAAGGCAGAGAGATAGTGTAATATTCCTAGGGCAGACAGACAAGGGGATGAGAAGAAAACTCAAATCTGCCTCCCTCAGAGGTTTAGGGGTAAGGTTTGTAAGGGGTCTGGACCAGAGCTGATTCATCAGGGATCTCTGATTCATCAAGAAGTGAGGGGTGCAGTCATGGGACGGGGGAAAAAGAAAACTACAATCTTGTGCTGTGCCAGTTCCTTGGTGGAGGTCTTTAGACCAGTTGGCACCAGCCACAACACTGAAATTCAAGATCTGAAACACCTTACGAAATTCTTGGCCAGGCATGGTGGCTCACACCTGTAATCCCAGCACTTTGGGAGGCTGAGGAGGGCAGATCACTTGAGGTCAGGAGTTCGAGACCAGCATAACCAATATGATGAAACTCCATCTCTATTAAAAATACATAAATTAGCCAGGCATGGTGGTGGACACCTGTAATCCCAGTTACTTGGGAGGCTGAGGCAGGAGAATCCCTTGAATCTGGGAGGCGGAGGTTGCAGTGAGCCAAGATCACACTACTACACTGCAGCCTAAGCGACACGAGGAGACTCCATCTCAAAATAAATAAATAAATAAATAAAATACTGTGAAAGGCAGAGAAACAACACAAAGCCAATATGTGAATTGCCTTTAAATATATATCACTTTGTATATCACATTCGGCTGATATACAAAGCTAATATATTAATTGACCTTAAATGCACTTTCCTCTTGTACTGTTTTGAACCACTATCTGCTAACCTTTTAGCAAAAGCAACTTTTAAAGAGCTACTTACATGAGTTACTTGTGAGAACCTATTTTAGGAGACCAGAATATGCCACCACAAAGTATGCTCTCTAGCACAAAGATTATTTTGAACTGCTTATTTTGAGAAACAGGATACACAGGAAATCTCTGAAAATAGAGTACACGTTACCCTTTTGCATGGAAAATGTGCATTCATAAGGGAAACCTCCGTTCTTACAGATGTCTCCTTCTCTGTGCCAGAAGGAGAAAGGTGACTCTAAATCACAAGAGACCTTTCTCAATGGAGAAGGTACTCGACTCAAATCAAACCTTTCCCTCATTTACTCTACTTTTCTGGTCATCTCCCTATGACTTGCTCCCCACATGCATTTTCCTTAGCTTTAGCTGAAGATGGCATTGAAGCCCAAGTTCTAGCCATCCCTTTGAGTTACTCTCTGAGTTTCTCCTATGTGTATATGAGATATGCATGTTACCACATTTCTATTTGTTTTTCTCTTGTTAATCTGACTTTTCTTATAGGGCCCCTGCTAAGATCCTAAAAGGGTAGAAGCAAAATTTTTTTCCTCTCCTACACTATATTTTGAAGAGCATTTATCAAATAGGAAAAAATGGCGTTTTTTTCCCCATATGTAAATTGATCATTGATGAAGAGCTACTGGTTTAATACTAGCCTCTTCTGAGTTTGGTTGGTAGAGATTGTCATCCCCAGGTGTCTGCTCCTCCCCAGGTGCACTCAAAAATTGCAAAGTTGAGGAACTGCCTTTGGAACATGATGACCAATCTAGATACACTGACTACTCATTGAGACCAGAGTTACAGGAAAGTGTGCAGTCACCTCATGAATAATGTTGATACTTCGGTCTTTTCCCTGATTGTTTCAAGGCCAGAGCCCTATGTCTCTGCGAAGCGAACATGTTTATTATCAGATAAAATCATTTGTGCTAATGTCTTCTACTTGATGTGTCATCCTTAGGAAATGTAATGCTTTAGCCCATTTAACATGCACTGACCTTCTTAGAAACATTCTTAAGGAATTAAGTCTAACAGAGACATCTGTAAGTGTGTGGTTGATGGAGGAGGTGTTCTTTTTCATCCTGGGTGTGTACAGCTTTTATATAGATGACAGCCTACTCTATTTTTGTATGAGAAATTCCCACCCCTAGGGTCAGGGACAGCAGATGATTGATGGGTATTTACCATGCTTGTTTATCAAAATCGAAATTAAAGTACAAAACCAGTGGGTGAGATGGGAAAGGAAACAATTTTCACTGAGTACCTATTATAAGCCAGAAACCATGCCACGTGTTTTATACCCAGTCGGCTCTGCCTATACCCAGAAATCTGAGTGGAACTAAGCGTGTCACATCATTAAAATCTACAATTTCAAATCTAAGTTGTTGGAACTCTAAATTATTGGGAACCTTAAAAGAATGTAATTATGGTGCTTGAGTCATGTGCCAGGCAGCTGTAACTAAGGCAAGTGTATCTTGGTTTCTCTAGAGATTAAGCCTCGTTCTTACCTGCATTTGTGAAATGTTTTAAATGGCTGAAGGGGCCCAGGGAAGACTCATCCCCTCTCAACTGCTGATGTTCGTTATGGATTAACTTCCCTCTTCCCTTTCTCTTGCAAAGACTTCATCGCTTTCACATTGTCTTTTTGTTTTATTGTTGTTGTTTTGTTTTTGTTTGTTTGTTTTCGCGACAGGGTATGGCTTTGTCACCCAGGCTGGAGTGCAGTAGCACAATCTCGGCTCACTGCAGCTCTGTCTTCTGGGCTCAAGCCGTCCTCCCACCTCGGCCTTCTCAGTAAGTAGCTGGGACTAGAGGGACATGCCACCATGTCTGGCTAATTTTTGCTTTTCTTTTGTAGAGACAGAGTTTCACCATGTTGTCCAGGCTGGTCTCAAATCCCTGAGCTCAAGCAATCCGACCACTTCAGTCTCCCAGTTTCACATTGTCTTAAGATGGAATGTTAAATACACTCTTTTGAGTTGGAAAGGATTGAAAAACAACTATAAATAGAACAAGTCATGTGGTGGGGGCACAGAAGTGTAACCAATTAATTTGTTGTAACTCTTGAACCAGTCTGGTATAGAAAATGCAATTCTCTCTCACTTCTTTCTCTTTTTCCTACATAAAAAAGAACTTAACTTTTAACTTTGGAGTACTGACCCTATTTCTCTGGAGTCTGTGTGCCACAGAATGTCCATTCCCAGCCTTTCACTTTAGTAAATTCTTTTTTATTTTTTTTGAGACGGAGTCTTGCTCTGTTGCCCAGGCTGGAGTGCAGTAGCGCAGTCTCGGCTCACTGCAACCTCTGCCTCCCAGGTTCAAGAGAATCTCCTGCCTCAGTCTCCCATAGCTAGAACTACAGGCATGTGCCACCAAGCTTGGCAAATTTTTGTACTTTTAGTGGAGACAGGGCCTTACCATGTTGACCAGGCTGGTCTCGATCTCCTGACCTCAGGTGATCCACCTGTCTTGGCCTCCCAAAGTGCTGAAATTAGAGGCATGAGTCACAGTGCCCAGCCCGCTCTTAAAACTGGATTTTGACCTTTTTGATTATTTCAAATTGATACCATGATGAGTGCTTACATCACTACTTGTCTCCAGTTTAGCACACAATCATTTATATCCACATGATATACATAAATATATCACATACATTAGACCCAGACGCATAAAGTGCACCCTAAACCCCTTGCACAGCCATAGGCAAAAATAGCCTAGATCACCCATACGCACACCAATCACACAATACATACTCTGCACACATAATATATATAAGTGTCGCATATATTAGAATAATATATTTTATTTAAGAAAAAGAAGTTTGTTCAGCTTGGGTAGGTATAAAGAGAGTCAATATCAGGAAAAATCTTAGGTTAGTCAAGGATAGATGCCATAGGAGCTGAATCTTGGAAAAAGTGTGGGTGTAAATTAGGCAAATTAGGACAAAATTGTATTACAGATACAGACACCACACAAAGATTTGGTATCAAGAAATCGCAAGGTACATAAACTCTAAGTACTTGGAAAACACTGACACATAAATGTAAGTGGGGAGTGGCTGGGGCTATTGATGGAGGCAGGGCCCACCACTTTGGAAGCACTGAATACTCTACCAATATCTGAGGATGTGCATAGACTTTCTAGTTGTTGATAGGTTCTATAATCTTCAGGTCTTCTATGTTATCAACATATCCATCTATGCCACAGTGGAATTCAATGTAGCTGAAGCTTCTGCTCTCTATGTACCTCCTGTTGTACTTCTCCCAGTGACACTCGAGTACTTTAAGGGCACCTGGGGCCCATACATATGCATTTCTATATCGGTTGCTCCCCTTCTCATCGATGCATGTACGCTGAATTTTGAACCATAAGCTATAGATGAATATATGAGACCTTTTGCCTTTCAGAGCTTCTTTTTCTCTCATGAGGACATCACATTTGTACCTTTTGAATTCTCTACTTGGACTTAAGTAATGAAGTTTTATGAATTCTCTCCAGTAAACGTCTTTACTGTATACACACAGCCTGCAAAGGATGTAAAGCAGGGCCAAGAGCATGCCCCAGATCTTTAGAGAGGATGTCATCTCAGTCACCAGGGCCACCTGCGTGTCTACAGGGAAGAGAAAGAAAAACATTATCCTGACAATACTCAGAGAACTGAGCTCCACCTTAAAATTCCTTTCCCTGCCAAGCAGGCACTTGGGCACATATTATATTGCTATTTGTTTCCCTATTAGAAGATGATGATTCTCATTAAAGAATACAGTTTCTGGACCAGGCGCGGTGGCTCACACCTGTAATCCCTGCAGTTTGGGAGGCCGAGGCGGGTGGATCACCTGAGGTCAGGAGTTCGAGAAACACCCTGGCCAACATGGTGAAACTCCATCTCTACTAAAAATACAAAAAGTAACTGGGCATAGTGGCTGTAGTCCCAGCTGCTCGAGAGGCTGAGGCAGGAGAATCGCTTGAACCCGGGAGACAGAGGTTGCAGTGAGGTGAGATTGCGCCTCTGCACTCCAGCCTGGGCAACAGAGCAAAACTCCATCTCAAAAAAAAAAAAAGAATACAGCTTTCTAAGAACTAAAAATATGCTTTAGCGTGTGAGAGCCAAACACAAATTTGAAAAATATAGATCATGTACCTTTTGAGAATTTCAAATATCTCCTGTCTACCCTGTCTTCTATCCAATTTGAGGAGCCAATCACTATCTAGCTCTCTTTTACCAAATAAACTATCAGGAGATCATGTGTCCAATAGAAAAATGACATTTTAAGCTTTTTGTCTGCAAAGTGGAAAAGATTGTTGCATTTTAAGGGAATGTAGAAGATGAGTAACTACTTGGGAGGTGGTTCCTAGGCAGAAGGCATTGGTTCTGGAAACCACAGCCCAGGTTGCACTTCTCTGAAAAATGATGTTTTTCCAACCTTGGCTTCCTTATAACACTTTCCCCAAAGCCTGGGTGAAACATGTGATCATTATTCACTATCCACATCCCTTCTCAGAGGCCATTTCCCTAATTATTGCTATTACAAATGATCTTCATTTGTTAGAGCTTATTGGCAATGCCATCATAAAAGGACATCAGTTTAGAACTTTTGCTGTAATCAATCAGGCACCAAGACTAAAACAGTCCCCCGCAGAGCTACTGTGGTCACAGCATAGGATGTATGGTCATTTGAAAAAGTTATCTCTTTACCAGCTCTCTGTCCTCATTTCCCATGAGGAGTATTCCTGGCCCTACTGAACCTCTAGCCTGATTCACAGCTCTGAGTATCGGTGTCCTCAGATAGGCCTAATAACAGCTCCCTACAGACCTGCGAGAGTCTAATGAGATGCAAGCATGTGAGAGTACTTCTAACCATGTCAAATGCCCACATCAGACACAGGGTTCCTCATCCACGGAACCCTGTCCTAGTGATAAAGGCCTACACAGGATAGAAGAGTAGGATGCAAGCAGCTTTAATGCATTGTGGTTAGGAGGACTGGCGGTGAAGGAAGGGAGGAGCAGGGAAAGCCTGTATCAGTGGGACTGAGGCTGACCAGAATTCAGGCCTTTGTTTTCCATGATTTGGATCCTTCTCCATTTTTTGCTATCTGAAAGCTCAGTCAGCCCCCTTCTAGTGCTCCTGGCTGTACCCCGAGCATCCTCAGTAGAGCCCTTCTTACCCTACTCAGACTCCGAGTTCAGGTCACTGGTTGTAGTGGGAATCAGCGTGTGGATCTGAAGAGCAGAGTCTGCGTCCTCCTCCTTTTCTCAGAGCCCTGGAAATCTGCAGCAGTGGAGAAAGGAAGAGCAGGGGGAGCTGCAGCGCTCCAGCTGATTGGTAGTGGAGGGGGCGATGGGGAACAGCCTTATTATGTGAACTTGTTCTTGTATCGTTTCATCTGGAACACTTGGGTTCACTCAAACAGTAGCCTCGAGCAAAGGCTACAAACATCAAAGGCTGAGCCCTGGGCACAAAATAATTGTAAGACCTAGGTGACCCCAGAAAGGGGTTATCTGGTGCTATCAGGAGACAACCAGAGACTTAGCATCTGCTCTCAATTCTAAGAAACTTCTGGGGAAGTCCCTGGAGGGTTATGACTTATGCCATGTTACATGGGAACTTCACTGAGGAAAGCCACTTTTTTTTTTTTTTTTGAGACAGAGTGTTGCTCTGTCGCCCAGGCTGGAGTACAGTGGCATGATCTCGGCTACTGCAACCTCTGCCTCCCGGGTTCACACCATTCTCCTGCCTCAGACTCCTAAGTAGCTGAGACTACAGGCACCCGCCACCACGCCCAGCTAATTTTTTGTATTTTTAGTAGAGATGGGGTTTCACTGTGTTAGCCAGGATGGTCTCGATCTCCTGACCTTGTGATGCACCCGCTCGGCCTCCCAAAGTGCTGGGATTACAGGTGTGAGTCACCGTGCCCAGCCTTTCCTCCTTTCTTTCTTTTTTTTAGACAGAGTCTTGCTCTGTCACCCAGGCTGGAGTGCAGTCGCACAAACACTACTCCTTGCAGTCTCAACCTGCCAGGCTCAAGCAATCCTCCCACCTCAGCCTCTCGAGTAGCTGGGACTATAGGCGTGCAACACCATGCCTGGCTAGTTTTTTGTATTAATTTTTGTAGAGACAGGATTTCATCATGTTGCCGAGGTTGGTCTTGAACTCCTGAGTCCAGCTAATCCTCAACACGTTAGCCTCCGAAAATGCTGGGATTACAGGCATGAGCCACTTGGTCGGGCCAGAAAATCACTTTTAATGTTGTCAATTGTAAGACCTTCCTTGAGAGGTGAAAGAATATCTAGTAAAAACAGTGGCGAAATAGCTATGAATGATTAGGTAGCCAGCATCTGAAATTTCTTTACTCAGTTCTTTAATTATAACCTTTAGCTGTTTGGTGACACTGTACTGCTTGCTATTAAAATGTCACATAACTTAGCCATAGTTTCCACAATGCTACTATACATAACATCTGACTGTGAAGTACAGGTAACAAGGTGCTGGTTAAGTTGTTTTTCAGGACCTCAAGATTCAGTCCTGAACTCAGCTCAAACTGACAAGACCACGAACTCTTCAACTGAGTTTGTGCAAGTGTTCAATGGGTTACCTTTAACATCACTACCTGAATTTTCCACCATATTTTTCATGCCAACTCCCTGCAAATTGGCAAATGTGACCAATACTGGTTCATCAATGCTAGTCAAAATTAAGATTTATGAATAAAGTAAGATTCTTGCAAATCTTTTCTATCAACACCTCTGAAGTCTGCTCTAGCCAAACCACCTTAGTTGATTTTCTCACTGGGCCACCTTATTGTTGGAATGACAGAAGGTTCAGTTTATATCTGGAACTTATCTTCAAGCCCCCGCTCCTGTCAAACAATCTTTGAGTAACAGGAAATCATGTGCTGATAGACTGGGTGAACGGGAGATAGTCTCAGAGCAGGTTCTGTGCATCTTCTTACTCTCTAGGTCTTTGGGGGACAGGGGAGAGCAAAAAGGGAACAATTCTGGGCATCTGTATCTGGATGACTTGGGAGGTGATTCTGAGGGAAAGTCAGTTGTTTGTCGTGTGCCCACACATCCAGAGCTCTTTCCAACAAATGTGCATTATCTATTGAAGACTTAAATTCAAGCAGTGACTCAATGAATGTAGAGAGAGGTGGGAGAGAGAAGCCACCTGAGCCAATGTATGAGCCAATATTTCTCAAACAATTGATATTCCACTTTTAATATGGAAAAAAAATATGGACTCCAAGCATACATCCATGAACTCTCTTATGAGCTAAGCCCAAAGTCCTAAAGCTTTTTGGATGTAAAGCCAATTAGGAAGCAATCTAAACTAAACTGGAGAAAAGTATATTGTTATATTTACAGAAATTAGCCACTACCAATGCAGCCCAGGAAGGTAGCCCAACCAGTATTTCTGGAAACCACTTAATGGGTCTACTTCCTAGAGTCATCTACCAGCTTCTGTAACAGAAGCTCCTTGGGCAGTGACTTTTGATTTCAGTTCTTAAGGAAGTATTGCCCTTTAAATATAAATTTTAAATCACTTGAAAATTATGTTCATCCTTTAAATATTGTCTTTGATTTTAAGCATTTTCTGTTAATTCCTTGATATATCCTATTATTATTATTATTGTTATTATTATTATTATTATTAGGAACAGAGTTTCACTCTTGTCGCCCAGGCATGATCCCAGCTCATTGGAACCTCTGCCTCCTGGGTTCGAGCAATTCTCTTGCCTCAGCCTCCTGAGTAGCTGAGATTACAGGCACCCACCAACACATCTGGGTAATTTTTGTATTTTTAGTAGAGACGAGATTTCGCCATGTTGGCCAGACTGATCTCAAACTCCTGACCTCAGGTGATCCACCCACCTCAGCCTCTCAAAGTGCTGGGATTAAAGACGTGAGCCACCACACCAAGCCAATATTTCTTTTGTTAGCAACTATTCAATTCTTAAATGTTTGTGAACTACTGTTTCACAAAACCATAAAAGTGACTTAGGTTCCTTATTCAGGGGATGACAATGTCTGTAGGTGTCTTAATCTGTGATCCACGGGCTTCCAAGGGTTCCATGGATGGAATTCACAGCATCAATGCAGTAGTGCAGTGCAGAAAATTACATCTGTATTTTCACTCACCCCTATTGAAATGTAGGGTCTGGGCATGGTGGCTCACACCTGTAATCTCAACACTTTAGAAGGTCAAAGTGGGAGGACCACTTAAGCTCAGGAGTTTGAGATCAGCCTGGGCAACGTAGGGAGAAATCTAATCTCTACAGAAAATTAAAGCAATTAGTTGGGTGTGGTGGCACATGCCTGTAGTCCCGGCTACTTCGGAGGCTGAGGTGGGAGGATCACTTGAGGCCAGGAGTTGAAAACAAGCCTGGGCAACATAGTGATAACCTGACTTTACCAAAAAAAAAAAAAAAAAATTTAAGGCCAGTAGTGGTAGCACGTGCCTGTAACCTCAGCTACTTGGGAAACGGAGGCAGGAAGATTGCTTGAGCTTAGAAGTTTAAGGTTGGAGTGAGCTATGATAGCACCATACTGGGTGACTGAGCGAGACCCTGTCTCTCAAAAACAAAACAAAACAAACAAAATGAAAATTAAAA